GTAAAGACTGTGGTTTGGGTCAGATGCATTGCTCTTCAGCACTTTGGAGAGGTCCCTGACAGCAGATTTTCCCAGTACAATATTTCTTTTGATTTCCTGTCTGCCTGCGCCAAGGGTGTTGTGGATTCAAGGAAGTTGAAATCACTGACAATTTCCTCTCTTCCCCATCTGTCGTGAAGTTGCCTATTCACTTCATGGTGGTGAGTTTTGTTTTCTTTGAAATCAACTCTAGGAAAAGCTTATCCTAAGGACTGATGTATAATTGAAAAATGACTTTTGTTTCATTCTCTTGATGTTGAGATGTAACCAACATTGATTCTCTGCAACAAGCCTTTTAAGTCCATCTGATTTTCAGCAAGGTTGTGTCATCTGCATAATGCAGATTGGTGAGTTTTCCTCCTGTCCTGATGCCACATTCTTCTTCATATAGTCCAGCTTCTTAAATGATTTGTTCTACTTACAGATTGAATAGGTATGGAGAAAGGATACAACCCTGAAAAACAACTTTCCTGATATTAAATCATGCAGTGTTCCTTTGCTCTGTTTGGACAACAGCGTCTTGATCCTATGAGGCTTTCTAGCTGGCTGGTGCAAAAATCGCAGGAGAAAGATAAACAGTCTCCTCACCTACGATTTACTGGCTCTGAAAACCTGATGTAGGGTCAGCTATGAGTTCTGACTTGAAGGTACTTAACAACAATGCAGAAGTAACTGCAGAAATCAGAGCACCGAGGGGTGGGCCAGGTGATGCTGGGCTGTAGCCAGAATCCAATCAGTGTAGTGGTTCACTCATACAGGGACCCTAACGGCTCGGCTCTTGACCTTTCATGGTTACTTAGCTTTTGTCTTCACCCAGACCAGTTCCAACTCCAGGTGTACTAACACTCTGACCTTGGACCATGTCCTCGGCCTTGATGCACCTCAGTTTCTCCCTCTGAACAACGGAGATGATAACACTTCCCTGGTTGATGGAAAGAGGAGGATACAGTTGCCATGGCTTCCTCCAAACAGAAACTGGGCCCTTCACTTGATTCAGGCCTGATGGGGGTGGGGTCTTCATTGTTACCTCTACCCAAGAGGTTGAGAGGAGAGGGGCAAGAGAGGTGGTCCTCCCAGGGGAGCCAGGGCTGAGGCTAAGGTGGAGAGGGCCTCAAATCCCCTGAGAGGGGCCTTGTGGGGGTGGTGAGGGCTGGGAGGCGGGGAGCAGAGTGAATCCACTAGGGAGGCATCCTGAATGGCTCATTAGTGCCGATGAAAGCCTTTTTTCATTTCGTCTAAATACTTTAAACAGGGCTCCCTCCGATGTCTATTTGCATAGCTTAAGAGCTAATGCGGGGGGAGGGCCCAGGCTGCGGCAGGGCAACGCCAGGGCTGGGGGCTGCCCGGGAGCTCCTGGGCCTCTCTGCAAAGGGGGAGAGTAGAGGGAAATAGAGTAGTATTTCCCCAAACTGGGCAACTTGGTGGATGCATCCCCAGGCCCTGCAGGAGCTGGGGGACAGAGTAGCAGCCTAGGTGTGTGTTCTTGCCCCCGCACCAGGTGATGGCCCTGAGGGACTGTCTTGCTGTGACCACAATCTTGTTCCCCAGGGACCCCTTTTGCACAAGTAGTACGTTATTATCCTCATTTTAAGTCAAGATGTTAAGACCAAGAGAAGTAAGCTGACATGCTCACAGTCACACATACCCAGCAAAGAAAGTGAACCCCAGAGAGGAGGAGAGGCTTGACCCCCAGGCCAGCCTAACCCCTCCAGAGAGACGCTCAGTTGGGCACAGCAGGGGGCCACCCTGCCTCAACTTCTGGGCACTGCCCTTTAGAACATTCAGATCCCCACCAAATCCCTCCACAGCTGAGGGGGCAAAGCCTCTGAGAAGGAATTTGCTGTGACAGACAGAGGTCACACTTGAACCCAGGTCCATGTGATTCTGTTCGTGGCCCTGTGGAGCTACAGAGCTGAATCTCTAGGGTGGGTTACAGACTGCTTTGGATATGGGTAGGTGATTCCAGAGGGTCCAGCCAGGCGACGGTCTAGCCAGGCTCAGGTTCAACCCTGGGACCTGAGAACCCAGACCCTGCACTCTGATCCCAGCTTCACCTCTAGTCTATATGAGACAGACCTTGGACTCCTGCCCCTAGATCTCTGCTGAGTAGCTCTAGTGTCTTTTGGCGTTGAAGAAAGACAGACTTGGGGCTCTGAAGCCCAATAATATGTATGGGTCCAAATCTCAGTTCCAACTCTGTAGACTTTGAGACAAGTCCCCGTACATCATCCCTCTCTGCTTCAGGGCTTGAGGTTCTTTATCTATAAAATGGGTTGAAGTTCCTATCATCCAGAGCTGCGGTGAGGGATAAACACTACAAGGTATGACTCAGTGCCTGGCACACAATAGATGCCTGAGGAGACTGGGCATCTATGCCCTGGCATCTCTTTCCACTGTCCCCTGCATCATACTCTCAGCTTGGGGGTGGAGGGAGGACAAGTGAGGGCAGGAAACTCCCGAGAGGGTATAGTGGGCAGAACATTCCCCCTTTGTCCAGCCCCTGGACTCTTGAACTCAATTGGCCCAGATAAAGAGAAGGCCTGTGACTTCCTGGCCACAAGCCCAGGAATCTCCCAGAGTCTACCAGGGTGTCTGGAAATGCCCTCTCCCCAGAAATGGCTTGTCTCCCAGAGATTATCCTACCCTCTTCTGACAGTGGGTGGCACCCGCTGGGACCTAGTGGCAGCTGATTGTGGAATCAATTTGCTCCTTTGATATGCTATCTCGATCCCATTTAACCAAGTGCTCCGTCCCCCCTGATAACACAATCAGTGCAATCGACAGTGACGGGAGGTGCCCATTAGCTCTGCTCCATTGCCCAGCACCCACCTGGCAGCCACAGGAGCGGCTGTGCCTGATGTGGTCATTTCCTAAGTCAGAGGACCTCCATGCACTCTCTCAATGAAAAGCCCTACAGGCATCTACTCTGGGAGCCAGAAGCAATGTATAAACACTGTGCAGCTGCTTCTTTGGGGGTGGGGGGATGGGGGTCCAGTGGTTGAGAAAGGCCCCTCCTCCTGGTGCCATGCTGAGTCTGCTCACCTGGCAAAGACAGCGTGACATCTGAGGGGGTGGGCAAAAAGAGGCACGCACTGCCTAGACCCTCCATCTTAGACGCAAATGAAAGACACAGGGCACTGGTAGACCATCTGCTCTAGGGGGTATGGGCCTGGCTGGGCATCTAACTGGGCACTGTGTTGCCAGTGCCCAGTATGGAATGCCAAGGCACAGATGGGCTGCTTCAGTAGGACTCTCAAGAGACAGAGGTTCTCGTTTCCCAGGGCTTTGGGGCTCCCAGGCCCTTCTGACCTAGAGGAATGGAGAACCTTCCGACCTGCACCTGCCTCCCACCTCGATTTCCTCCCTCCTCCCATTTGTCTGACACATCAGAGCTGCCATGGTCTCCTGAACAGAATGTAGGCCATCTGCCACTTCCTCATGCCTGCCAATCCATGGGGTGGGCGCGAGCCTGTGGAATGACAGCCCCACCACCAGACATGCAGAGGAACCGACATTCTCCTTACAAACTAACTCTATTATAATCTCACTCTGGCTCTGATTCCCTTCAAGTCCTCGTGCAGCCATTTTGAGAGGATCAGGAACATCCTCCTGACCTTCTCAAATGCGGCAAAATTCTGTGTGAGATGAGTCTGAAGCCAGCAGCCACTGATCGTTTCCTGGCAATCAAAGATCTGGGAAACTCAGTGGGTCACAAGTAAAATATGTATTATCTCTCCACCTATGTGGTTGGTTAAGTCAGTACAATCAATAGAGAAGCAATGTGTACCTCAGACCAGAGACAGCAAACAAGTTTCATTTTCCATAGCCTGTCTAGGTTGGCAGGGGATAGCTGTATTGAGAGAGATTTTGAAATCCCATGTCATCCAAGAAAGAACCAAAATTGATTAACAATGTCTGTCACAAATGGAGGTAGTTGTAGCATGCCTCATTTTATCTGTTATCCTAGCTTTAAACATTACCGTAGATAGACCTTGACTAGTGAAAGAGAAGAGGAATTCAGGGGGACACAGAAAATGGAAAAAGTGTATGAATATTAAAACACAATGTGTATGGATAATAAAAATAATTCATTTAAAAAGGGAATGACTGTTAGCTTAGTTAAGACTGAAAAAGAAATCTTTTACAGATCAGAAAACTGAGATTTGAGGTTATTTGCCTGAAGTTGCACAGTTCCCAAGTGGTGGATCTGGGATTTGAAGCCATATTTGTATGACTCCAGAGCTTGGTTCTTCCCACTCTGTTCTTCTATGGCTGCCCTAGAAGAATCATGACAAAGGGAGGGAGATTGTCTCAGGAGACACAAGAGAAATAGGATATAATGGGACTCGAACAAAAAAAGTCATGCACCATGAGGGAATCTAAATTAAAGCCCCAGCTACATGAAGCATTTTACTGAGGCTCATCATCAGATTCACTGAGAACAGAAAGTGCACTTGAAAGTCCTATAATTGCAGGCATAAAAGGCAGTGTAGTGAGGGGATGACCCTCTTGCCAAGATTTTCATCTTGGTTCCTCAAATGGCTAGCCGAGTGATTTTGTGCAGATCTCTTCCTTTCTCTGGCCTATTTCCTTACCAGTAAAATAAGTCTTTGAGTTATATTAACGGTGGCAAATATTTATTTGTCCTGTGGGTCTGACGTTTCAGGCATGGTTAAATGTATTGAGAAAGATTCTGAATCCCAATGCACCATGATCAATTGGTAATGTCTGCCTCTGGTGCTGGACGGAGAAAGCAGTCTCCTTTGCCATCTTGGAAGTATATGATGTTGTATCATCTCCAGTTTAAGATTCTATAACCCCATCATTCTCAACATTGAGCATACTCCCAAAGGTTCTCTAGTAAAAGAAAGATGGGATCTCATGGTGCCTATGCTGGTTATGATGCTGCTCCCTGTGGGACAAGGGGGGACCTCCTTTCTAATCTTTTGTTATAATTTCAGGACTCTACTCAGAGGCCCCAACCACTGGTGAAGGACAAGCCCCAGGCATTGGGGAGACAGATGGGGAATTAACAGCTGCCCCTACACCTGAACAACCAGAACGAGGTGTCCACTTCATCACAACTGCTCCGACCCTGAAGCTGCTGAACCACCATCCAATGCTAGAAGAATTCCTACAAGAGGGACTGGAGAAGGGAGAGGAGCTGAGGCCAGCACCTCCCTTCCAACCTGACCGTCCTACACCCTTCACTCCAAGTCCCCTCCCTCGTCTGACCAATCAGGACAGCCGCCCTGTCTTCACCAGCCCCACTCCAGCTACAGCTGCAGCACCCACTCAGCCCCAGTCCAGGCGGGGCCCCTGGAGCCTGGAGTCAGAGCCCCCTGCACTTCATGTCACAGCGCCTTTGCCTCCAGGACCCAGCATGGCAGTGCCCACTCCAGGCCCAAAGGAGAAACCACACACTATGCTCCCTGGCAGGGCATGGACTGCAACCCAAGAAGGTCCAGGTGACATGGGCAGGCCATGGGCTCCAGACATCATGTCCCAGACCACTGGACTCAGGCTTGATGGGACCACTGCCACCTCCACAGCTTCAGGGGATGATGAGGAGACCACCACCACTACCACCATTGTCACCACCACCATCACTACAGTCCAGACACCAGGTGAGCTACCTCCTGGCTTGTAGATCTGAAACTGAGCATGAAAGAGAACTGTGAGGCCATAAAGTTCCTCTGTCTCTGACACCATGCAGCTTGTCCTGCCCTTTGGCACCAAGAGTCAGCCTGTAAGAGGCATGTGGATTAAAGTCTAATAGGCTTTGGGTTCAAATCCTCACTCTTCCAACTATATAACCTAAGGAATTTTATTTCACTTCTCTGAGCCTCATCTGTAAAATGATAAGAGCTATCTCATTGAACTATTGTTAGAATTGCGATAAGCTTGCACATAGTAGGTGCTCAACAAAAGAGGGTTCCCTTCCTAACAACAGCAGAATAGGCCCCCACACAGGTGAGCCCTTCACACACACACACCCCACCTTTCACCTTTACTTGGTTCCATCTTACCAGATCTAGGCTTATCCTTGTTTCTTCCTGCCTCTCAGGCCCTTGTAGCTGGAATTTCTCAGGCCCAGAGGGCTCTCTGGACTCCCCCACAGCCTCCAATTCACCCCTAGATGTCGGCCTGGATTGCTTCTACTACATCTCTGTCTACCCTGGTTATGGTGTTGAAATCAAGGTAAGTAAGTAACCTGAAGGCCAGCTTTGCTAGTTGGCTAGTACCTTCTCTTTTCCCAGGAAGGGGCTGGCTGTGGGGAGAGAGGAAAAGCTCAGAAATAGCCATTGAAAGGGGACCTAGGACCAGAACTGGGAGATGGACCTACCACAGATCAAATTCAGTCCTGTCCGTCTGGGAAAGTAAAGAGGCTACAGTTTTTCCCAGCGATGTTCTCAGCTGGGGAAGGCTGTGGAAGGAGCAGGGCTGCCCACTCCTCCTTCCAGGAATCCCACTGGAGCTCAGGAAGGTGAGAGGATTGTGGGCTTTGAATCTGTGTGGCTAAACAGAAAGAACACAGGGCAGCCTGGCTGGCCTAAAGAGCTGTGGGGATAGTCATTCATTCATTCATTCACTCACTTATTCATTCATTAAATGCTCCCTGAGTAGCTCCTCTGGGCCAGGGCCCATGCTGTTTTCTGGGAGGCAGAGATGGACAGATACTAGATAGTCTGACAGGGGATTAGGGACCTAGCAACAGCAATGACAGTGACATAGGTGGTGCTGGCCTCCTGCCCCCATCCGTTGCCTCCCTGATTAATCTCATTCCTCCCATGGTGACTTTTTCTGCTGCCAACTCTCATCCCTAAAGCTAGCTCAGACTCACCCATAATCCCACGGTCTGAGTTGTTTGACCCATAAACTCCTCTATCTTCACTTGCCCTAAACCCAACTCTTCCTCCTCATCCTCCTCAACCTGCACTCACTCTACTCACTTCCAGCCTCAAAGACTAACCTCAATCAGCTAGAAACCTGAAGCAGGGTCACAACAGTGCAGTGAGGGGGTGCTGTGCAATGCAGTGTGGGGTCCTCAGGGCACTTCCCTCCCTCACCCTATTAATGTGTCTATAAATTCTTTCACCATGACAGTCATGGGACTCTGCTCTACCTGCATCTCCATAACCACCATGTGTCCACCCCTACATGATTTGCAGCGACCGCTTCACCCCACCCTCACTGGCCTCTACTATCCCTGCCCCATCTACTGGAGTAACAAAATAAAATCCTGCCCCTCTACCCCTCACACCTCCACAAGCCTCCTGGGGGCTCTGAAATCAAGATTGTGCCCTCTGGCTCCACCCACTGCTCACCTTCAGCCCCTCCCTTCAGACAGTCCCCTCTGCAGCTGCATCAGCAACTTGAGGGTCAAGCCCCAGCCTCACATGCTGTTCCCTCTGCCTGGAACGGTCAGCCCGCCCATCTCTTCCCACGGACTCAACCCTGCATCACTTTCTCTGGGGACTCTCTTGAATTCCTAAGCCAGTCTCTGGGTAGAAAAGGGGTCCATCTTCAGGGAGTCTTGCCTTGAGCCCCTGTCCCATCTCCGCAGCCCTCTCCCCTTCTTTCTTGCAACTGTTCCCTCTTGTTTTGCCAAGCCTGGCGCCCCTCACTCTAGGCTGACTGGGACGGTAATTAGGAACAGCTACCCCCCTCTCAAGCCATTAGCACTCAGCGCCGCTTAATTAAGGTAATTAATGTAAAATCATCACCTAATGAGAGGTGGCACCGGCTGTGGCTCACCGGGTGGAAGGCGCCAGCTGCAGGTGTGGGGAAGGGGGTAGGAGGGGCAGATGCCAAACTAGTGTCCCCCTGCAGGCCTGGGCTGCCTGTCCCCAAGCCTCCCACACCCACCGAAGCCTCATGGGCCAGCTTAGGCCTAGGCCTTGGTACCCACTGTAGCAGGGTAAGATGCTGACTTGGCCTGCCCCTACCCCACCCTGCGTGCCCACCCCCTCACACAAGCCCTAGGTCTGTTGTCTGGTGCTGCCACAGTTTTTCATCAGAATGCAAAAGCCGTTACCAGGCAACCTTGAGACGAAGACCTGCCACAGCCCTGGATTGTCGTCAGGAATCCTGGCAGACAGAGGCTGGCCCCGCCTTTCTACAGTCAGTACCCTGGGTACTCAAGAAGGCTGTGTGGCCCTGAGGGCTTAAGAGGGTGTCAGAAGCCACGTGGAGTTGGGGGGCAGGGTGGCCAGAGCTGGATCAGCTCCAGTGATGGGGATAAAGAGACAGAATCAGGGCTTAAGCAACACTTAAGGTTCTTCTGCTTTCAGGACTGATGCCAGCAACCCTGCCCCCATCCAGGCCTGCTGGCCACCCACACTGGGCCTGGGAGGATTGACACTGTAGGCCTATACTCATGAGGTAGTTGGAAACTGAGGCCTAGGCCAGACAAAAAGGGAACTGCCTAATATCACTCAGTTAATCATTCACTCGGCATTCTTGATAAGTGACTTTGTTCCACATACATGAAGTAAGTACTTGCTGTGTTCCTGTCCCTTGTGCTGGGCAGTGGGGCCCACTGACCCTCGCAGCTGAGAAACAGCAAGCAGTGACCACAGAGTGACCACAGTGCTGTGGGGGCAGGGTGGGAAGCTGTAGCGCTCAGGTAGGGTGGGGGTTCAGGACAGGCACACCCCAGCAGACTGGGAGGTTGAGAAGGCTTCCTAGAAGTGACCCTGAGGAGGAAGAGCCCGCTGCTAAGCCAGGGGCTGAGAAGCAGCAGGTTGGCAGATCCTCAGTCCTGAAGTGCTGCTTCTGCTGTTTTGGAAACAAGATTTAATTGCAGAGGAGCAGGGGGTGGGCTTGCTCTCTGACCAGAGAGCTGTGTCCTCCAGCCCTAAGCAGGCAGCTGAGGCGAGCCACACAGGCCATTGAGTGGGATGGGTGAGGGGGTGGAGAACCTCGAAGGCTTCCTGTTGCTCCTCCAGGCTTGGGGGAAGGGGATGGATATGACCCATAAGTTCCCACTCCATCCTTCTCATGAATTCAAAGGGACAACTCAGAGGAAGCAGGCGCTGAGGTAGCAGCTGGAGTACATACAGGTGGGGCCAGTGGGAGGAGACACTCACTAACTGTGGTTGAGTCAGAGTCAACTCATAGCTCACCTTCCTGTGGATTTTCCGAGCCTGTAAACTAAATGGGAGGAGCTTGCCCACCATTCCCCCCAAGGGTGGATTCAAACCATCAGAGAGGCGCTGTCTTTATGTTAGTAGTGTAGCTCCAGAGGGACTAAGCTACCAGAGCGCCCTCGTGGATGCAGAGGAGCACCCTAAAACCTCCCAGCTCACACCGCGGAGCAAGACCCTCCTGCCACGTGACTGAAGCTCTCAGGAAGCCTCACAGGGGTCTGGGGCTTGGGCAGTGTTTGCATTGAGTTGATTGCTGCTCCTGATGGCGCCACATGTGGAGAGTAGAACTGTGCCCCATAGGTTCTCAGTAGCTGGTTTTGCAGACCTAGAGAGCCAGGCCTTTATGCCGAGACTCCTGTACAGCCCAGAGATTCCAGGGCTGGGTAAGACCTACTTAATTTCCCGTTTGCAGCCTCAGAGGGGCCAGACTCCCTCAAGCCCAGGCTGATTCATGCCCTACCCTCCTCTTGGCTTTGGAGCTGTTTGTGTCCCTGAACACAAACATGAAAGCAGGAGGCCAGAGCAAGCCCTCCATGATCAAAGGAGCATCGTCTGTTTTGGCTGGTTCAGCACTGGGCTCTGCTTTCTTGAGGACCATGGCCTGGGTGGATCCCACTCCCTCCCCAGAGACCAGTACCTGCACCCCCGAGACCCCTAGGCCTTTCTGGGCCCAGTGCCTGCCTCTGACTGGGCTTGGCATGCCAGGAATACTCGCACTGCCAACCCCCACCTTGGTTTGGCTGCACTCTGTGCCATCTGGAGCCTGGGCTCAGCTGCCCACAGTCCCTGCCCCAGTACCCCAGGAGGCATTGTAGGTTCACAGTTTTCCCATGCCAGTCTGCTGCTACCTTGGTAGCCAGAACAACCTGTCCCTTTAAGCCAGGTCAGGACTCAGCCAAATGTGGACACCAAAGGGCTGATGGGGTGGGATTTGGGGGCAACTTTCCCAGAGGAGGTTGTGTCCCCAACCTAAGCCTCTTTCATGGCTTCTTTAAGTGCCATCTGAGGGGATTCCAGGTCTGGTCCTATGGATTTAGCCTCCCCTATCCCTAAAACAGGTAGCTCTGGTGGCCTAGTAGTAAGGAGCTGCACTGCCAACCCAAAAGCACACGGTTCAAATCCACCAGCTGCTCCATGGCAGAAAGACAGGCAATCTCCTCTCTTATGATTTACTGCCTCTGAAAACCCTCAGGAGGGTCAGCTGTGGTTCGGTTCCAACTCACTGGACAATAGTAACAACAAATCCCAAAAACAAGCCTTGCCCTATACAAGGGCCTAGAGGCTGCCATGTAGGACTGGAGAGCCAGTCCTGGACACACCTCCCACTTCTGGAAGATGGGGCTGCTACCCTTGTCTTCTCTGGGCCTCAGTTTCCCACTTAATACAAGGAAGATGTTAAAGCAGATGATTCAAAGCCCTGCCCCAGCCACTCTATGTGTGCGGCTCCTCTTCTGGGTCCAGGGAGCTCTCTGGGGCCAAATCAAGCAGTGGCACGTAAGCCCTTGGCCCTGTTGCTTGTTCCCTGGCAGCTGCAGAGCCTGGACCAGGGGAGACAGTGACTCCTGGTTGCAGTGCCTCTCAGAGACCTGGCAGACCTGAAGGTGAGGTGGGCCCATTGCCAGCTGCAACCATGGCAGATGCCAGGGCTGGATCAGGATGGAGCCTATGTTTCCACAAGAAAGGAGAAAATCTAAAAAAAATTCATTGCTGTTGAATCAGAACCGACTCACAGTGGACTTTCTGAGTCTGTAAATCATGTGAAAGAAGATTGCCCATTTTTCCCCCAAGGAGCCAGTGGTGGATTTGAACAGCCAGAGAGGCTGCCATTGAGTTAGCAGGGCAACCCCCTTTGGATTATGCCACCAGAGTTCCTTATGAAAGGGAAAGAGAATTGCTAATGCTGTTCCCCTTCTGGATAGCTATGCTGAGTCCCTTCCTCAAAACTTAATCCTTACAAGCCTGTGAGATAGACAAGGATGTCTCCATTTAACAGCTAAATCTTGGGTCAGGTGACTTGGTTAAGGGCCCCACCCTGCTCCCAGCAAGTCC